GATGATCATTTACCAAATAAGGTAAGATCATTGATGAACAAATTTGGTATATTCCCAGACTGTAGTTCTAACTCAAGTTTGTTCTAATTATTCTTAAACAAATCAAAAATAAAAAGTTACAAAATTAGGATTAATAGTTAAATATATTTTGAAATATCAAAAATGCAAATCTTATATGATATTTAATAATGAAACAGAAAAAATAAATTATACTTCAGCTTATGTAGTAGCAGGTTTAGTTAAAAAGTTACTCAACATGTACTTTAAAATATATTGGCTTCTTTTGGTATAACTTTGCAAATATATAAAAAAATATATAATATATATCAAAATAGATTATTTCCTTGGATTATAGATAGTGCTAAAAAATTAGCAGAGTTGGCTTTAAAACAATACATTTAATTTATTAATTTTTCAGAAAATCCTGAATTCAATATACAAGTATATAAAGATAATTTAGAAATCAATCCTAATTATTAAATTGTCAAGAGATTTTCCATTAGATTTGATATATTTTGAAGTCATTATAGAAATGTGAATCAAGAAAGTGGTAAATTTATTTTTTAGTCTGTGATTCCAGATAATTAAACATAACTTGTATTCAGATTTTACTTATATATATTATAATAAATAATTATTTTAATATTATTACAAGAATATCTACATAAATTTATCATAGCATTTTATATTACTCAAAAGTTACAAATTATTAAAGATACTAAAACTAATGATCAAAAAACAGTATTTAAAAAAAATTTCAATGCTAGTTAAGACAAATAGAATACTTGATATTAATAGCTAATTTAAATACTATTACTAATATATTATACAAACATAAAATATTACTAGATATATGTCTTGATAGAGACCTCAATTCAAATAAAACACTTAGTTACATTCTAATTGTTAATTATATTTTTGCTAATCTTAAGCATATAAGCAAAAATATTTAGAAAAATTTAAGTATATATATTGTAAATATATAACAATTATTATACTAATTACAGAATTATAAATAATTAAAATAATAATAATAAAATATTTACAATTTATAGAGAAAAAAAACTCACCATTTTATTAATTTGAAAATTATATTATGTTATAGTTTAATAGTTGTACTTTTGTAACAAAATATTATCTTAAAGATCCTAATGAAAAAATACCAACAGAAAAAAAGTTAAAACATATACAAGTTGAAGAACTTATTAAACATTTGCAAAATAACTATATCAATTGTTGGAATAAAGTTTGTTAGTTTACTAATAATGCAAATTTAAAGTTACAAGCTCCAATATTGGTTAATTGTTCATCAAACAAAATTCAAAAATTTTGAGATATATTACTATCTATTTGTTATCTACTGACCAGACAAAGATTTGTTACAACTTATAGATCTTTGCAAAATAAAGCTTTTAATTGAATTAATAGGTAATTCACTACTCAACTAGAGAAAGCTCATAGTATAATATAATGCAGTTTATATATAGAAATTAGAGTTTTTAAAATATGAGCTGCTTCTATTCAAAACCTTTTTTCGTATTAAATTAATCACCTTTGAGCCTCTAATTGAAGTTGTAAAGCTTGGTAGATCATGAGATATCTTTAAAAAATATTTTACTAACTATATAAACTTTTCTTTCAATAATAGTATTGTTAAAAAAGAAGTTTATATAGTTAGTGAAAAGTTTTTTGAAGGATCTACAATTTACAACAAAATTTAAAAACTGACTAAAAACCAAATTAATATTTGTTAAAAAACTAGTATAAAAAACAAGTTTTTTATACTAAAGAAAAAAAAGCAGCACTTGAAATAACCTTTAGTCTATTAAAACAATTTTTTACAAAAATCTCAAGGCTAGCAACAAAATAAAGACTTTAAAAATTTTTTTAAAAATTTTTAGAAATTTTGAAAAATTTGTCTAAACTCTGAAAATCTGATATCTGAAACGCGTAAATATCAACAACAAAACAAACACATCAGATCAGATAAACAAATAAACAAACAGTAGATTGCGTTGACTTTTTTTAGATACAACAAAATTTATAGATCAACAATAGTATACATGGCTAATATTAGTAACAACAAATAAGTATAACAGACATAATATATATCAACAACTAAAAATAGATTGTTCTAGAGTTTACTATAGTAAATACAGAATCTATAACAACAAATTAAAATTTTACTCCATTCTAGAACACAGTCTTGATACAAAGAAAATAAGAATAAATCTGCTAGATTTTATTTAGAACAGAAGTATAATCACAGCCAAGTATTTGCTTGACAAGATATTTGAAGAAGTAATTAATGAAATCATACTTACTAAGCCTAGCAACATCGAACATATAGCCAAGATATTAACAATAGAAAACAAGGGTACTATTATACCAATAGAAGTACTAGTATATGGTCTTATATTTAAAGTTTTATCTTAAGGGCAAAAAGGCCAAGAAAAATGAAGAAACCTCTATAGAAAGAATCATGCAAGACATAATAGAAAATATCAAATCTGAAACTTAGCAAATAAGGAGGCTTTCAGAAATTAGCTGATTAGAGTTTACTAATAAATCATTTGAACCTACCCCACTCCTCTCACCTGCTAGCCAATCAGATTTTATGTTTATTAAAATATATAATTAAAATTATATATAATATTTAATAATGAATAACTTTTGATCTACTAGACTAATTTGGATAATTTAACTACCAAAATGATTCTCTCATTAAGAGAATTCTAACAAGTCCAAAATTATAAAAATTTAATCACTAGATGCTAAGATATAAATAGTTTTGTATTACTATATAATAATATAATAAATATATTTATAGTAATACAA